CCCCCCCAATGGGTCTTTTTAAGTACTGTTTATCTTTTGCTAGTCAAGAAATAACAGTTGTCCCATTGTGGCTTGCACAGATTTATTGTGGGTGCGATTAAGTCCTGTATAACTCTGGTTAGTCTGTTTATATTTGGCAATAGTTTAAAGAGTAATCTGCAGTTTAAACACTAGTCTGTATGTGTCTGAGATAGAATAACTTCATAAACAGTCCATTTGTTTGTGGCTAAGTTAAAGAAGATTCCATTTACTATTTTCTGTTTAGGAATTTTATAAAAAATTAGCTTTACTGTAAATAAAGGCAATAGCTGCAATAAGAAAGTGGTGGTGTTTGCTTTGCCTTCCACTGAATGAAGTAGTTGATGACTTGTAATACTTTGGTTCACCATCTATTATGTCTCTTCCCATTTGAGTACCTTGCAGATTCTTACCTCTGCCCTTCAGGGTCATCAGAATGAAAGACTGTGTATGGTGGCTTGCATGTGTAGCCCCTGTTTTTGAAGGAGAGCATCAGCATCTCTCAGATTGAGAGACTGCTCTTCCTGGCTTCAGCCTCTCTTGGTAAATTTGCTCAAATCAGTTGAATTTCTAAGGCTCCAGCAATGATCCAGAGTATCCACAGGTTCTGTTCTCATGAGACTCTCCTGCATGAAACCAGTGGAAGAAATTCTGGAGGCTGCCCTTTTTCTGTCTGGGAGCTGTGGCAGAAACTCTTGATGACAGTTGCTTTCCCCTCTGGCCCCCCAGTAGTTCTGCCAAGAGGATGAGGCAGCCTGAACTCCTGGCTATGGTGACCTGTACTATCGTCTTGCTAGCCTACTGTCTGTCTTCAAGAGCTGGTGCAATGGCTTCTCTTTTTAGTTCTTAGTGACAACTAAATTGCTGTTACTATAGCTGGAGTCTTGGTAAGTTGCATTATTGAGATTTGTGGCTGGAGTCCATGTAGGATTAATTATCAGAGACACAATTAGCTGAGGATTTCTGTTTTGCTTATTAGTGTTGGTGAACCATTACCTCAGTGATTCTTTCCAGTGAGAAAGTTACTGTAAGTCAGTAACTTACAGTTGTCAGTATTCTATATTGGGTATGTTTTGTTTGTTTACTTTTATAGGGATTCTGAGCAGCTGACTTTTTAATTTTTTTTTTTAAGTTTTTGGTTTTATTTAAATTCTTACTGTTTCAGCAGTGTCTAAAACAGGTCTTGCAGTTTGCAGGCTTGAAGCGTGAGTTTGCTTGTCACCTCATTCTTTCTGCCTTTTTCCTTTATTGTCAATTCCTTGCAAGTTTGAATGAGGATCAGAAATATGACTTTTACTTAAATCATGCTTTCAGGAGCTTTAATTAAGTTGGCTTTGGCAAATGAGTTCCCATTCATATTTATCTGCTTCCTTTTGTGTGAGCTATTCTCAGCTGTCACAAAGATGCTCAGGTGTCTGCTGACAGTACTTTTATAGTATTGAGCCTTCATCTTTTGAAGGACAGTGGAAGGACAAGGCTGACAGCTGAAGTCTTTGTGTGAACTTGGGGATCGCCTCGTATCTCTACCACCTGCTCTCGATTCCAAATCCAAGGGGAAACAGACTGGGAGGTTGTTGCTTCCTCAAGACATCTACTGTTAGAGCAGGAAGTGCTGAATTCTTCTAATTAACTACAAGGGCATTCTGGCTCTTGGGAAGTATGAAGAGGTCAGTGCAGATGAGAGAGCTTGCTGGAAGCAGTTTCCCAGCCTGGTCCAGCTCAGATGGAGACAAGCTTAGTGGTGTAACACTGCTGAAGTTCATGATGGGAATGCTGTGCTCTTGAGAGAAAGAAATAAAATTTAGGTTTTAATATAAAAAGAGCAGGAATACTTGGGCATGCTGGTGGAAAGGAAGGAGGCTTAGGTGGTGAGTGCCTTGGGGGAGCTGGGGACAGTTTGGTGACCAACAACAGCAGTGCTAACAACACTTCTTGGAGCAGGCTGAACTGTCTGTAGCTTTGGGCTAGCAGCAGCCACAGCTCTTGTCATGGCAGGCTGCCAGCATCCTTGTATCAGTCATCTCAGCACAGCCTGGTGATTTGCGCGGTGGCTTGTGATGGCCCGTTGGGTACTGTGCAGAGCTGGGGAAACTAGGGCAGGCCTCCATCCTAACGGCCTGTGTCTGCTACCAGAAGAGAGGGGCTGGCAGCAGTTGTGCCATCAGGAAAGAGCTGTGATGGATTATGAATATTCCAACTTCTGTACTTTGTGCATACAAGCAGTGATCAAATCCAGGCCTAGTTCTGTCCTTGCTGTTCCAGCTGATAATCCCAAAGGTTACCTTGATGCTGATATTAGTACTGCAAGTACATGTCATTAGCTCCCCAGTTGTGATATATGTGCTCTGGGCAGTAGTTCATATTTCGTACTGTCTGGATGATTGGCTAATGAAGGACAAAACAGTGGAAGTGGTCCAAGGATTAATGCAGAACCATCAGGCACTGTTTGCCTTTATTTAATTGATAACTGCAAGGAGACTGGCTGGCTGTGCCAGTGAATGGTTCAGAGTAGCTAAAATTGTGGGAGCTGCTTTTTCAGCTCAAGGCTAGGATTGGTTGAGTGTGGCTCTGTGCTTTCCTCTGTAAATGCCTGATTGATGCCTCTAAACTTGTTGAGCACAAAACCTGTTTTTCTCCTGTGGAAGAACAGTTTTTATTTTTTTGTTGTGTGTTTTGATGGGTAAATAGAAGATACTCAATTTCTTTTGTGTGCTGGGGCTTGAGTTTCAAACCAATGTTCACTAAATTAAGCAAGCATTCATTTAACTTCTCTAATGTTTGTTGTTTTAGTTGAACTTTTCATGCGCAGTTTGTGCTGGGATGGAAACCATTGCTAAAACTGAAGATCAAGTTAAAAAAACACCAACCAAGCAACCTCCCCCCCGTTTCTTGTTTGGTTTTTTTTTGTTTTGTTTTGTTTTGTTTTTTTTTGGTCAGCTGTAACTTGTAGCATGCATGAAACCTGAACATGAGAATACTCTGCCTCATATGATGCCAGTATGCTGAGACTGGATAAATATCCCTTTCTCTTATCCTAACGAGTTCAAAATGGACCTTAAAGGTCATTCAGGATGGCAGGTGGGCAAAAGTATTTCTGGTTCCTTTTGTGAAGAAAATAGGCTGTTAAAGAATTTTTAAAGTCTTGTATCTTAAAACAGCTTAGCATGTTAATCTTATTTCTTGGCTGGTTTTGGCAGTACTTACAGCAGCAAGGTGTTCCGTGTTACCTTCTTGACTTTGGCTGCATCTCTAACTGTGCCCCTGCTTGGAGTAACTGTTCTACTGGATTGTCCTATAGACCCTCAGCCTATAAGGTAAATTGTTGCTTTGTTTTGAAATAAATGTTATTGAAGCGTAACTTCTTGTATGTGTTCTGTTGGTTTTGGGTTTGTTTGTTTTTTTTTTCCAGCAAACAAGAGTCAACGATGTAAAGTCGTTCCAACTGGATTAAGAAATTGGGGAGTGATTGCAGTATTATCCATTGCCATGGCTTGCTTCACATAGCCAGTCTGTTTCTGAGCCATCTTGCGCAGTTGCGTGTCACTACTGACCATTGAAGGAGCTGAATTACTTTCTTTGATCATTAATCTAGAAAGTGATCTGCTGTGCAAGCTGTCACTGAAGCTTGTGATTACTTACGTGCACTCTTGCCTTCTGTGAGACAAGAACTGCATTTTCACTAAGGACCAAGCTGTACCCCTGCTATTATAGTTTTGTCAGAGAGACTGTTTATCTGAGGATGGAAATTGAAACGGATGACCTGACTGGGTTGATTTGGCGCTTTGTACCAGTGGAACCATATGGTGATGTTATATTTAAATGCAGATCTCATAAAGCAATGCAGCTAGGTGATTTCTGCCCTGAATGATGAATTCATAAACATCTGAATCGAGGTCTGTATCAAATGTGTAGTGTAACAGTGAATCAACTACATGAGAAGATGTGACCTGTGTTGGGAGAAGTTGTGTGTGAAATGCTTTGACTGCTAGCATAGAGTGGAGTCAAGCACTGTTTAGTGCCTGTGGCATTTTGAAGTAAGTGAAAATGCTCAGTCTGCTAAATATTTATGATCAACTCAATAATTCCTTAATGAAAAGGAACAACAACACTGTAAATATCTCTAGAGTTGAAAGAAACTGTTAATGTAGTAGGGTAGTGCTTACAAGTCTTGCCAATAGGCTATTAGACATAAGCTGCCTCATTGCAAATCATAATGAAATGCTTTCTGCTGTGGTTGGGTTTAACAAAACCCAATTCCCTGAAATACACTGCAACTGGAGAGTAATTCTGAAAGCCAATAGGATGTCTACAATGCTTTTCCTGTTATATAGTCCTGGTCTAATTCTGGTCCAGGGTAACAGTATTCTGCATGCTTACATTTCTTACTTTAAGTCCCTCTTACAAGACTGGGAGAACTATTCTTCTTGCCCAAATCCCTGGCTTATATTGCTGTACATTCTTAATTAGCTTCTTAGCTTCACTGCCAGAAGTGGTTCCAGTCTGTACAATAGATAGGATGATTCCATGTGATGTTTATGAAATGTTTTGAAAAAGCTCAAGGAGGTAGATGCTATCTGAATCAATCCCTTCAGTGAAAGAACACGTAAAAATCTCATTTGCCAATAGTGATGTTATTCCTGTAAGCCACTGGAAACAATGAGGAATAAGAGGAGGGAGAAAAAAGCAGATGTGATCTGTGAAACTCCACGTGAAATTCCTGCAACTCTGGTTTATTTCAAGTTCTTTCTCTATGAGCCTGTCTTGGATAATATTGATCCCAGGCAGGATTTTCTGCTTGCAAACACAACTGTCCAAAGTTCCCAGCAAATGAGTTCCTTATCTGAAGCCTGTTATCCTCATCTGAAACTCTTTGATGCTTGGAAGAAGGGATGGAAAACAAATTTGTGTTAGCATTGTGAAGACAACTCTGCTGTAAATCTTCTGTGGACAGGAGCTATCAGTTGGCTTTGCCACTGCAGTAATACATACTTAAAGGAAAGTTTGCTGTCTGTAACCAGACAGATAAAAGTATGTATTTTTCTCTCCTTCTGAATTGCTTGTGCTGTGAACCTGTTTTCCTCAATTGTCATGGCTTTTCTAGTTTGCAATTTCAATTGACTTTTTCCCCCCCAGTCACTGAGGCTCTAGAAATTGTAATGATTTTCACCATGTGAGCAGTAGAGTTACAATGTGGTTGGTGACAAATAGGTCCTGGATCCTGTGAATCTGGGCAAGTTTTGGAGTCAAACCTCATCTTTTTAAGATTCTACAGGTGGAAGGCATTTGCTTATGGTCATATAAGGAGTTATTTAAAAAAAAAAAAAGTTTGAAAAATTCTTTCAAAACTTGGCCTAGGGAGCTTTAGCATACTCTTGTGAATGAACACCTAATGAGTTTACCACCCTGGGCACCTATGCAGCTTTTAGTAATAACTTTAAATCCTTAACTCATGGAGGCTGAGGTGGCTTATGTGTGTGTTTTTCAGTCTCTTCGGTTCTTAAACATATTTGAGTTTGTCAGCACAGTTAAGGCTGGTCTTGAAGCACAGTGCTTTGGAGCCTGGTATTTAAGTTGAAGCTGTATAGGCATCTTACTACTTCCCTTCTCTGTATCTCTCTAGTTTGTTGGAATTCCAGTTGCCTTGAACCTGGCTATTTATGTGAATAAGGGCTTGGAAGATCAGACCTTATTTTGTCATTTTGAGATTTCAGTTCAATACCCTTTAAGTTTATGTGCAACTTACTCCTTTGAGTTGGTCTTTCTCTATGGGAATGCATTCAAGTCATGAACGAGAATATATGTTTCAATATGATATGAAAGCATGTGGTCCTAGTGCTCAAACTACTGGAACACTTTTTTCCCTAGTTGTATGCTAATTAGTAATTAAAAATTATTTTTCCTCCATGATGAAAATGATCAGTGTCAGATCTTAGTGTATTGTAAAATGCCAGGCTTTTAAATTTTAAAACCTTTTTGCTTAGGAATTTGCATATATCTACTTAGGAAAAATATTCTGGTAGGAACAACTCATTCAGCTGAGTAAGAAAGCAGTTATTCTTTTGTGTTGTGGCAATGCAGAAATCCTTTGCCTTTTTGTGAGATAGATGAACTAGGAATGTGTTGTTGGACTTGAAGCTGTATAGATTTCCAGATACATCTTAGGAACACATAACTGCAACTTTTCTGATCAGCAGAACCAGAAAATTATGATCCTTGATGAACAAGAGTCAATTTTTCAGCTTGTCAGCTATGTTTTCTTTTTTGAAATATGCTGTATGTAAAGCATAGGTCAGGTTTGCAGGAGTTGGCAAACTAGGAAAAAAATGATTCAATATGTTGCTCAAGAGTGTTTGCAGATTTGCGCAAAGGATCATGAGGTCTGTGTTCTGTTTTGCAGTTTGAAGGAACCTCCCCTCCTGACAGGTGTGCTAGAGCCCAATATCAAGTTACGAAAAGCTGAGCGGTTATGGGAAAATCAGCTGGTCGGACCAGAGTCCATTGTCAATATTGGGGGTAAGCACTGACAATACAAGCTTTTAAAGAAGGGTCTTTAAATGTTGCTCCATTGATAAGGGTTTGTTCAGCAATAAAGCTGTTGGAAAACAAACTCTGGAAGTTACTTCGAATATGCAGGTTTTTAAAAAAATGTGTTATGCAGCAAAACCTGGCTGATATATACTGCTTTTCTCCTCTTTCCCCAGCATAAAATAAATCTTGTTGCCAGATTAAAAATCCCTGTCTTCCAGGACTGAAAGCATCAGCAATGTAGTGAGGGGCTACTTACGTTAGGAGGAAGCGGTCCCATTTTTCATTTGGCTAGCTCTTAACTGGGAATTAATATTTACAGGGCACTACATACTCTTTTAATGCTCATTGCTTCTGAGGGAACTGAGTTTTGTGGTGTTAATTTTTGCTTATATGACAGAAAAAAAATCTCAAATTGATAAATAGCATATTTATATTTTAGTGCTGTTGCATGCATTACAGGTGCCATCCTATACTTCTCTCTTACGGCACGTGTGTTCTCCCCAAATCACAAACCCATGCCACCTCTGAGCAGCTTCTTAATGAGGTGGCTAGACTTGTAATGGCATGACATCCACTTAGGAAACCAGCTTTGTGCAGGGGTTGTTCCCTGTGCCTCCTGAAGGGGGGTAAGGCTAGAAACTACTCTTGACATGAGTCCTTGACTGTTTTAATGTGAGAAGGAAAGGGTGTGGGGGTTGCAAGCAAGGCCCTTACTGAAATATCCTTCAGTACCAGAGGTGCTCAGTAGCTATATCATTTATTTTCCTTCTGCTATATCTTCTAATAAATTAGTAAAATATTTTAAAAAATTATTTTACCCAGCAAGAAACTACTGTAAATTCTTTCCTCAGATTACGCTTTTTCTACCTATCTCTGTTAACAATGTGCTACAGTGATGACCTGAAGCCACTGATTCTTTTCTGTTACCTAGTTTCATCAATCTCATTGGAAACTCTTTAAGGAAACCTTCCTGCAAGGGACAACTGACCTATGGGTGAAATAATCAACCTGACTGGAAATAAGTTTCGTATGAATAAATGTTGAAGTCGTCTTATTCCCTTTTAAAAGTGTAATTAGCAAACTTAAAACTTCAGTTAAATTGGAGTTGGAAAAGTCCAAGCAATGGGCCGTACTAATCCAACGGTCTTTCATTTAATTTGGTTCTATGGAAAAGTTTGTATGTTGTTTGTATTCAGTAAATCTGTCTTATGCTATCACATGGCTTGGCATGAATACAGTAATTTGGCAATGCTTTTGATTTGGGTGGTTGTTCAATTGCTATGTTTTTTGTAATTCTTCTCCAAAACTGATACAATATGAGCATTGGCAGGTGTCCAGCAGCCTATGTGTACTGTATCAGAATGAGATGTTTTTATCTAGTCAGTCTCTCATTGAAGAGTGGTAAGATGGATGCAGTGCCTGATCACATTTTATAATGATGTAGCAATTTGCCCAGAGGGATCAATCCAATGACTAGCCATTAAGTTGTTACGTCTACCTTTAACCAATAATTTGGACCACTTATGGGTGAAAAGTTTCATATCCCATACTCATAACTCCTAAGACTTAAATCCTTCCTCTTCTTTTTGAGTTGGAAGAAATCTAACCAAATGCTCTTATTTGCCTTCATCTTTCCTCTTCCCTCTTTATTCTTTTGCTATGACTGAAGACAGCTGTTACTTCACTGTATCTGAAACACGAATTCTACTTCATGCTAGTAGAAGGATCATGTAGAAGGATGTTTGCCACTACAGTTTTGTGATCAAGCTAATCACACCAGTTGTTTTTGCAGATGTGCTCTTTACTGGGACAGCTGATGGGAAGATTATAAAAATAGAAGATGGGGAAATACAAACAGTAGCCAGAATTGGCCATGGTCCTTGTGGTGAGTGACAGCTCCTGAACATAGTGTACCTGAAAATGTCTGGGTCGGGGCTTGTGTTGGTTAAACTGGTGTTCTGTCCGGATTGCTCATGCAAGTGCATATCTTTCTCTGTAGAGATTTGTAACAGAAATATTAATATATTTGTATGAATGAAGTATGAGTGGAAATATGTCTATAAGCACTATGAAGGGCCAAAAGAAAGGGAATGGGTGCTCTTGATAACAAAGGACACTGTTCCCAGCAGTGAAATTTAGGAATGTGGGTTTTCTATGTCATGACTACAAGGCCTGCACTCTCGTAAGGCTGCAGCATGGATGGCTTGTTGGTAGAAGATCCTGCATCTTAACACCGGGAGGAAGACAAGGTTGAAGTGCATCACAAATAACATTCCTTTTCCTGTTAGTCCATCTAGAAAAAGCACGTATCCTAAACAAGAAAAAAATGGGCAGCAACCTGGCCTAATATTTATGGAAGCTGAAGTCAGCAAGATTCTGAGGTGAAGGGCCACCCCATAAAAACTGAGGACTCCTAAACAAGTGTGAGTGAATGAACTCTGAGATAATGTGTGAGTGGGAAAGATCAACTTATTTAGAGATTTTTTGAAAATAAATATCACCTTCCCCATCTACAGAATTTTGCCTTGCATTTTGTTGTACTAATTTCCCTTCCTCTGTTTGTAAGTACAGTGGGAAGTTGTGGTGGCTGCACCTACTTTAGCAGGGGTCTTCCATTGGTCATAAGTCTGTTTTCTCACTGCTAAATTGCAGTTGTTTCTTGTTGAATTCCACACTTTCTGACCCACTTATTTGCTTCATTTAATGAGATTTCTGGAACTGAGTGAGAAAAACTGGTAGCGGCTTGTTTATTAACAGAACCATTTCTATGGGGAAGCTTAATGTTGGCCATCTCAGTACTGCCTGGACAGTCTGAGAAGCCTGGCTGGTGTTTGTTGGGACTGTGGGTGATTTTGTTTGTGGCAATGATGTAGAAGCTTACATGAGGTTCTGCAGCCCTGCGCTGGTTGTCAGTTAAACAGAAATTATGGGCAGGAACTGTTGCTGTCTTTATGTAGCTTACATTGACACGTTCATAATTTCAACTAATTTTACATGGATGTTCACGTGATTAGGCTCTGGACTGATTTGGAAGCAGTCTCTTGACTGCCTAACAGGTAGGACAGCCTTGGTGCTGACAGCCAATGAAGCCTGCTGCCAGCTGATAGGAAGCTGGACTTCCAGCTGCTGCTTAGGCATGAATGTGGGTTGGGATGGATATGAAGAATCGCCTTTCCACTGCTCATTTCCATTGGACTTGTACAGCTTGGGAGAGATGGGAAGATTACGCTGCCCTATTTGTTTGGGGCCAAAGAGGTAGTGGGGAGCCTAGACTTCCGTCTTGCCTTCCTTGAGTTGGGGAGGGAAGTGGAAAGGCTGTAGCTGACTACCTTCTCCAGAAGTTCCTCTTACTGATCTTTCAAACTACAGGTGTTCTGAAGTTCTTAGTTCTTCAGGACTCAAGTAGACAAATTTTTCAGATTTGCAGTATTCCCCTTCCTCCTCCTATAGAAGTCTTCAGTGTCTGTGTCTTGAGTAACCGGCTGTTTCATGACAGCGTTGGACCTTTCCAGAAAAAGAAAGTTCCAAGATGTGCATGTCTTGGGGTTTGGTTTTTTTTTAATTTAAAAAAGAAAAGAAAGAAACACACAGTAAAACTGATTCTTTCTGAGAAGAAGCATTTAGTTAAATCCAATTTTCTGACATTAAGCCCTACTCAGGGCAGCTGTTGGCTAGCTACCAGCCTGGCAAATTATATGATTATCTCTAGACTGGTGAAAACATGGGCATATCTGTTTCACTCACACCTAGGACAGTAAGTTCATTTCTTTAATGAATGTGTGTGGTGCTGGCCGTAGAGTTTTGTTAAGCTACAGTTTGACCTATGTTGGTAGCCTGAATGCATTGTATTTATTTCTATTTGGAAAACCATTTTAAAATTGTTTCCTAAGGAACCCGTGAAGATGAGCCAACGTGTGGAAGACCACTTGGCATCAGAGTGGGGCCAAATAACACCCTTTTTGTCGCAGATGCTTATTATGGACTTTATGAAGTTAATCCTGGTACAGGTATGACTTTTCTACTCAGAAGTTCTCTTCCACTGACAAATCTGGGCTTCATTTGCAGTTTTGCCAGACACTGCAGGCAAAACAATGCCTGCCTTATTTTAAACTGTTTTGGAGCTGTCTGGATGAAATATGCCATGCAAGAACTTGATATTTATTTTCTTGTAGCAATCACTTCCTCTCTATATCTGTCTGCCTGGATCAGAGTTACCAGTGGCTTACCTTCTGGTGACATATGCTTTTGATTATCAAAATTGGTACCTCAGGATGCATGAATAAAGCTCTGTGTAGCTGTTTCAGTTTTCATAAAGGGAAAAAAAAATATTGCTGTTACATAAACTTTTTGTCATGTTTGGTGCAGCTGAAGGTCAAG